TATTTTGTAACTTTCAGTGTATAGATCTTTCACATGCTTTGTTAAATGTATCCCTAAGTGTTTCATGATTTTCATAATGTTGTAAATGATATTGGTTTTTAAATTCAATTTCTGATTGTTCATTGCTGGTATATAGGCATACAGTTGGTTTTTGTATATGGATCTTGCATCCTGCAAACTTGCTAAACTCACTTATTAGATCTAGTAGCTTTTTAAAAGATTTTATTTTTTAAAAGATTTACTTATTTATTTGAGAGCAAGAGCGAATGGGAGGAGGGAGGGGTAGAGAGAGAGGGAGAGAATCTCCAGCAGACCCCCTGCTGAGTGCAGAGCCCAATGTGGGGCTCCTGGCTCTCTCTCACAACCCTGAGATCATGACCTGAACTGAAATCAAGAGTCAGACGCTTAACTGACTGAGCCACCTAGGAACCCCTCAAGATTTTATTTTTTAAGTAATCTCTCCACCCAATGTGGGGCTTGAACTTAAACTGCAAGAGGAAGAGTCGCATGCACTACCGACCAAGCCAGCCAGGTGCCCCAAATCTAGTAGTTTTTTAATAAATGCTATTGGATTTTCTACAAAGATGGTCATGTCATCTCTGACATTGTCTTTTTTTTAAAGATTTTATTTATTTATTTGACAGAGAGAGACACAGCAAGAGAGGGAACACAAGCAGGGGGAGTGGGAGAGGGAGAAGCAGGCTCCCCGCGGAGCAGGGAGCCCGATGCGGGGCTCGATCCAGGACCCTGGGATCATGACCTGAGCCAAAGGCAGACGCTTAACCGACTGAGCCACCCAGGCGCCCCTCTTTTTTTTTTTTTTTAACAATGAACTTGCTTTTAACCGCAGATTTGTCATTTTAATGTGTTCTTCATTCAATACTTCACCTTAAAATATGTATAGAAAAGTGAAAACAGAAGCCATCCCATAAAACCTTTCACCGAGTTTTCACTATCATACTCACTATCAGTAAATCATTAGAACAGTGGTTCTCAACCAGGGATGATTTTTGCTCCCCAAAGGACATTTGGCAATGTCTGCAAAATTTTGTCACAACTGGGATGAGGGGGCTACTGGCATCTAGTGGGTAGAGGCCAGGGATGTTGTTAAACATCCTATAATACACAAGATAGCCTTCCGACAGAGAATTATGTAGCCCAAAATGTCAGTGGTGTTGAGGTTGAGAAATTCTGCACTAGAAATCAGTACATACACAGATGTGATCCTCACAATAAATGTCCTTATGCAGATAACACGATGTTGATAGATGTAGCAGGGCTCATTTAAATTTCATATCAATTTTATCCTTTCCTCAAATCCTGTGAAAACTGTACCTTTTCTTTTACTTGGTGGGATGTCCCAGGGTTCTTCTGATATGCGGTTTCCCTCATTGAAAAGGGTCAACAAACTTGACATTGTTGGACTGTAGGTTTGTTTCTGGTGCTTTTAAGTTGATCAAGCTAGAACAAATTCATGCTGTGGAATCAGATTCTCCATTGTGAAATGTGTTTCTGGGAAACTTGACTGGTCCAGAAACTGGAGGAACGGGAATGGACCTGATGATCCACACTGCTGCAAAAATCCAGATGCCACTGCTCATCAAATCCCGAGTAATTTATTCAGTGTTTTTCCCCCTTTGGCCCAGAGGTTCCCATGGCTCCACTGGCCCCTGACCCCCTAATTCCTTTCAACCTACAGAGCTGCGAAGCAAAGTAACTTAGGCCATCTGCCGAGAAACCTGGGAGACAGGTTCCTCCCCTGAGGCCTTTGGATCCACTGGTGCAGCTGGTATGTCCTGGTACCTGGAGGCAGAGGGTTGGACAAAACGACCTGCTGGGGCATAGGCAGCACAGAGCGGGGACACTTCCTGCAGCTCTATACCAAGGGTGTCAGATACAGGTTCTTCACCCCTGCCCTGAGGATACCCTGGCCACTCCTGGACAGAGGCAGTTTCTCTGTTTCCTTTAGTCCCTCCCAAGCCCCTTCCGAGGCCTCTTCAGTGGAAGGAAGGCATCAGTTCTCAGCTCCTGACCTTTTTCCTTGGGGTTGTTTTTCACAGGTTTCACTAGACATGTGAATTTATCTTGGAGGCGGGGGCAGGAGGGACTCAGTGGGACAGATGACAGGGAGGCTGGGGTAGCCAGATCCTTGATGCAGATTCTCACTGATCTCCTTCACTTCTGCCTGGGAGTTGGGTGGGTGTTCCTTGGGCAGGAGACCCTCCATACCTGATTCACCAAGTTAGTTGCTCACTTGGTCTCTGGTTTTATCTGCTTCTCTCTTTCTCTTCATCTCCTTCTCTTCATTCTCTTTCTCTTATAGTCTCTCACAGGCCTCTCTCCTTCTCCCATACTCTCCCTCTTTTGTTCTTCTCTCCTCTTTACCTCTTGACTAAAGGTGTTGGCTGCAGCATCTCGAGCTGACGTCCAAACCCTAATACAACCACAACAGGGCCAGTGACATTGTCCTTAATCACCTGTTGCTGTCACATCCTGGGGGACCCTGATAGTGCTGACACCCTGTTGAGGTCACCAGGGCATCAGTCCCCTCCCAGCCTTGAATGAAACAATTCACTGCAAACCCCTTCTGAAGATGTGGCATCAACCACGAGGGAGGCAGCCGGGGGATGATGAGGAACTCTCAGCATCATCTTTCCACTTCGGTCCAAGACTCCTGAACTGGAAAGGGCCTATCTAGTCAGCCCTCCCTCTCCCCGCGCTATAGGTTTTCATAATGATGGGTTTTTTTTCTTTACTTATACCTACAAGCTTCTTGTTTTTGGAAAAAAACAACAACCTTAAAGTATATTTTGCATAATTAACTAGACTCTATTTAGAGGACAACTTTAATTCATGTTTGTTAGTTAGAAAAACAATTTTCTGTAACATTTTATTTCCTACCATTGTTGCAATTACTCTAGAGATGAGAACTATATATTGGCCACCCTGGTGAACAGGACAAACTTTATCTTTTTTTAAAACCTAAATTAAATAAAATAGTGAAACTCCTCAATTTCTGAGTCTTTAGACTGAACGATCTAACAACTAAGAGCCCAGGTGAATCCTATCTCCTTTCAACACATCACACCCCGGGAGTCCAGAAGGCAGGGACATTTGCAATCAGGGCTCTGGAGACATTTACTGCAGAAGGGAACTGGAGCATAGAATCATGGAGAACACACCTCCCAGGGACCAACACTTTCACCCTGAGCCTGAACATGAAATAATAATGAATGTCTATCCCTCAGATATGAACTTTGGTCCTGGTCCTCTGTTAATTCTTCCACTCTCATAGACACTCAGGTCTGCCCTTGCACCTGGTTCTCTCCTCAGTTTTCTCTCTACACAGCCTTCTATTAATACTTCTGCCACTAATGCTCCACTTGTTGGGGCATTTAATGTAGGTCTCTGTCAACAAGTTATTCTATCATCAATTTACTCTGTCATGAAAAGCAAACCTGAGTCTTTACTTCTATCAATGCCTAATCTGATCTGTGAATGAAATCCAAGCCTATTAACATTAGTTTTCCCCGGTGATCTATATATTAAATCCAGATTGCTGTTATAGATTTTACCACCAATGTCCCTCTTTTCTGACCTTGACTCTGGCTGTCTATTAAATCTTTATTCATCAATGACCTTTAGCTTTAACCTTAAACCCAGGGCTCTGTTAAGTATTCTGCCATCAATGTGTCTGTGTTCTAGATCTTAAACCTGGGCTTCTGTTAACTTTTCCACCATCAATGCTCCTATGACCATTACCTAGGGTCCAGAGTGTCTATTGAGATTTCCATCAGTTTCCTTTGTTCTGACCTTGAACCCAGGCCTTTGAAAAAATTCTGACATAAAAGCCTGGGTCCCTTTGAATTCAAACCTGATCTACTGTCGGTAGTCTTTCCCTATTAATACATTGTGTCTCAATCAAGTCTTCCACCACCATTGACCCTCTAATTTGTTATCTTACATGGAAAAAGGGACTTTGCAGATACGATTAAATTAAAATCTCGAGATGGGAAGATTATTATGGATTATCCAGATGAATCCAATGTAATCACAAGGGTCCTTATAAGAAGGGAAGAGGAGGGTCAGAGTCAAAAGAAGGTGTGATGGAGGAAGCAGAAGGTCATAGAGACTTGAAGAGGCTACACTTCCTAATTAGGTCATTATTTTACCTTCAGTGTCCTTTGACCTAGAAGTAAGATTTTTTTTTAAGATTTTATGTATTTATTGGGCGCCTGGGTGGCTCAGTTGGTTAAGCGACTGCCTTCGGCTCAGGTCATGATCCTGGAGTACCGGGATCGAGTCCCGCACCGGGCTCCCTGCTCGGCGGGGAGTCTGCTTCTCCCTCTGACCCTCCCCCCTCTCATGTGCGCTCTCATTCTCTCTCTCTCAAATAAATACATAAAATCTTAAAAAAAAAAGATTTTATGTATTTATTTACTTGAGAGAGAGAGAGGGGGAGAGCAGAGAGGGAGAGTGAGAGGGAGAAGCCGACTCCCCGCTGGGCAGAGAGCCCCTTGTGGGACTCGATCTCATGACCCTGAGATCATGACCTTAGCCGAAGGCAGACTCTTAACTCTTTACTTGTTAGTTTGAACCTCGGTAGAGGTCTTGCTTATTTCGCCATCAGTACTCTATTTTGTAGCTCTAGAATCCGAGCCTTTGTTAACTATTCAATCCCATTCCGGGCTGACCTCCAATCTAGTCTTTTGTTATTTTTTCTAAAATCAATGCCCCTTAGGCTCTACCTTAAACCTCTGCCTCCTACTTCTTTCGGCTTTGATACGAGCAGCAAAAAGCCACATCTGCCCACTTTAAGAGGCGCGGGCAGAAGGTCGGGCCTGTGAGTGACAAGAGAGGGCGGGCCTTCTGTGTTCCAAGGAGCCAATAGAAGAGCAGGAGCGCCGCGACGCCGAGCCTTGAGTGACAGACGGGGAGGGGGCTCGGCCCCATTGAAGGAACAGTAGGAAGGCCGGAGGGCTGTGACGCCAGGCTGCGAGAGGCGGGCCGGGAGCGTGCGTGAGACGATACGTTACGTCCGAAGACTCTCCGCTTTCACCGGAGGTTTTAGCAATGAGGCTTCTGCAGAGCGATCTGCCCGGCGGTGCTTCTACCTTGCGGCCTTACCACCCCTTCCCCGCCCCCCTGCCTGGGTCCCGGTTCGCACCGAACACCCCTACCCGCACGTCGCCACGCCTTTGCTCAGGCCGGGCCTCTGCTGGTGACCGGGAACGCCCCTTCACCCTCCCGGAACAGTCGCTACACTCCCGAGCCTCCCACTGCTTTCGAAGCGCCAAACCCGAATACCCGGCCTCGGAACTCTCACGGGGACGTCCCGGACCCTAAAACACTATCTCTTCAGGCTGGAATGGGAGCCTCAAGCAGCAGTGTGAGGCCCTGGCCATTTTCCTGGCCGGCGACAGAGTTCCCGGCGCAGCCCGAATGACGCCATTTTTGTTACTGGTAGAGCTCGGGCTTGGAGGCTGTTGCTGAGCCTGCGAAAGATAAGCTAACGCGTCATCCAGACCCACCAAGGAGGGCTGGAGGGGAAAGGGAATTTCAGGCGATGTTGAGCCCGTTTGTGCAAGCAGGGAGCCAAGCTCGTCTTGAGGAGGAGCTTTGGGGTCCTGAGAGCAGAGCCAGGGTGAGGGGCCCGGTTGAGTGATGCGGGTCGGTGTGGTCAGTGATGGGGACATGTGGAAGGACCAATGAGGGGGTCCTTCGGGCTGAATGATGTGGAGAGCAGTGATAGGGAAGGGAGTCTGTAGGACTGTGTGTGGGACATGCGATGAGGAGTTTCTGGAAGTGAGTGACCCGGGGGAGGTCTGTGCAGTGAGCGATCGTGTCTGTAGGGTGAATGATGGGGTTTCTAGGAAGTGAGTGAAAGGGGTCTGGGGTGAGTGATGGAGTATGCAGTGAGCAATGGTGTCTGTAGGGTGAATGATAGGGTTTCAAGGGAGTGAGTGAAAGGGGTTTGTAGGGTGCGTGAATGGGGTCGGGGTGAGTGATGGAGAGTTCGTTGGGTGAATGATGGGGGATCTGGGGTGAGCATTGGGGTGGTCTTTAGAGTGAGTGATGAGGGTCCACGGGGACAGGAATGGGAATATGTAGGGTCAATGTTGGGATTCTGTGAGGTCCATGATGGGCGGCTCTTTGAAATTGATAATACATCCATGAATAAACAAAAATCCCTGCCCTTGTGGTGTCAACATTCCAATGGAGGCGACAGCCATTGAGGCTTTACTCTGTATCTCCCTGATGACCACGTTTTCATATATTTCTCTTAGATCCTCTTTTGTGAGGCACCTGTTCAGATCTTTTGCTCATTTTTCTATTGGATGTCTGCCTTTTCCTTATTGATTTGTAGGACTTGTTTTTATATATTCTGATAACCACCCCTTTATCAGTGGTATGTGTTTTCCAAATATTTCTTTGATTCTTGGCTTCTCTTTTCCTCGTTGTGGCTTTGAATATTAAGGTTTTAAGTTAACTTTGAGCTGTAAAGCACAATGTAAATTTAGAGTTTTGTTATTCTCAAGTTAAAAATCAGACAATGTCCTCTGTAATTTAGGGCGAGAATTAATTTTTTAGGGCATTCAGGAATAGAGAGTTGCATCTCTGAAAACTTTGGTGCCGTGACAGCTAGGGAGGAGTTCTCTGCTTTTTGTTTTCCCACCAGCTCACCCTCTAGTTACCCGCTGTGTGATCATGGATAAGTCACTAAACCTCTTTAGGCCTCAGTTTCCTCACTGTGAAATGAGGATAATAGCAGGGTCTATCCTTTGAGGCTTGGGATGATAATTAAGTGAGTTAATACCTGACTATTATCTATTCACCATGGTTTTGTAGCACTGATCTTGTATGGATCATCCGTGAACTCAAGGTCAGTTCTACTCATGTGATACCCAAGAAAATAGAATAAAAGAAATTAAATGCCAAGGAATAAGATTTTGTCAGGTAGCATTGAGCTTTGGAGGGCCACAAACCATTGTGATATCTTAGGGGTCGGATGTTTGTTGTTATTAAACAATTGGGAGTGTGATCTTGTGATGTGCCTCTTCTTCACTTTGCAGCTATATTTCCATGCTATTGACTTTATTTCCATAGTACTACTAAGCTTATGTCTATGGAAATTTTCAAACATTCAGCAAAATAGAGGGAATTATATAATAAACCCCCATTATGCCCCCCACCCAGTCTCATTAGTCATCACCCGATGGCCTTGTTGTTTCACCTAGACCAGGGTATGGAAAACTATAGGCAGTGGGCCAAATCTGGCTGCTGTTTTTATACAGCTGTAAGCTAAGAATGGTTTTCACATTTTTTAATGTTTGGAAAAAAATCAGAAGAAGAATATTTTGCGACATATGAAAAGGATATAAAATTCAAATTATCATGCTCATAAATGAGGTTTTTCAACAGTAGTATTTTAAAAAACTTTTTTAGAGAGAGAAAATGCAATGGGTTGGGGGCAGAGGGAGAGGGAGAGAGAATCTCAAGCAGGCTTCATGCTCGTTGTGGAGCCCGATGCAGGGCTTGATCTCACCTCCCTGAGATCATGACCTGAGCTGAAATCAGGAGTCGGAGGTTTAACCGATTGAGCCACCCAGGTGTTCCATAAGTGAGGTTTTATTGGGACGCAGCCGATAAACAGAATTGGCTTATGTATCGTCTGTGGCTCTGCTTTCAATCGCTGAATAGTTGCAACAGAGACCATAGGCTTCACAAATCTGAAATATTTACTATCTGTCTCTTTACAGAGAAAGTTTGCCAGCCCCTAATCTAGACCACCCATTTATTTCTCCCTCCCAGATCGTTTTTTCTTTGTTACTGATAACATAAAATGCACAAATATTTTTTAAAGATTTTATTAATTTATTTGACAGAGAGCATGAGCAGGGGGTGGTGCAGGCAGAGGGAGAAGCAGACTCCCCGCTGATCAGGGAACCCGATGTGGGACTCCATCCCAGAACCCTGGGATCATGACCTGAGCCGAAGGCAGATGCTTAATCAACTGAGCCACCCAGGCACCCCTAAAATGCACAAATATTGTGTATAGCTAAATTAATCTTTACATATGTAGTCCTTATTATTTTGAAACAAATCCCAGATGTATCATTTCATAATAAAGTCTTCATCATGTACCTGTAAAAGATAAGGTCTTAAAGGTCAATACTGTTATTCAAGGTAAAATAATTAACAATAATAACTTCAGATCATCATTGGTTAAATTTTTAAATATCATTAAATATCTAGTCAGGCCTCAAACTTTAATGATTATCTCAAAGATTTTTTTGTCTGTTCAAATTAAGATCCATACATGGTCCACACTTCACATTTGGTTGCTGTATCTTTTGAGCCTCTTAATTGTGCCTAGTGTTATTTTAAATGGTCACCTGCCTTTCCATCCCTTGGAGGTTCCATAAATTATTTTCTCAGTCCTCAGTGATTGGGCGTTTTGGTTATTTTCAAAATTATGGTGTTTAAGACAGCTGTGATGAAAGTTCTTTCAGTTAAATTTCTGCGCACATCCATGATTATTACCTTAGAACAAAGTTCTAGAAATGGAATTGCTGGTCAGATGATAAACACAAGTTATCAATGAATTAACAAACAACACATGTTACATTCAGCCATTGAAGAGTGGTTAACCCAGCTTGGTCTCTGAAGACTCTTCTGTACCCCACTGCACCCCCAATTGCTTTCCAAAGAGAAACAAAATGACTGAGTCCCAGTAAGTTGTTTGTTTTCCACTTGGTTTTCCCACAGTAAAATGAGAAAGGACAATACTTTGAAAATAAGAATTAGAGAAATTTAGACAAAATAGAAGATCAAGATGCAGATGAAGTTGCTGTTAAGATACATGGATTATCTGGCCTTACTTCATATAAACTGAGCTAAACATTTTACCTTCAAGCTTCTGGCAGCCACAGTGAAACTGGTAAAAAGGATATGTTAGATGGTTTGCATTCTCCATCAAGAGAAATGAGTTCATCTGTCCAGCTCTTCAGCAAGTCAAGATTTCTGGGACTTTAGCTTAAGAAATTTTATTGTTGAATTTTCCTAAAGGCCAGTGATTTTCAGCTCAGTGTGGTATCATCGATAGTTGTTTCAAAGAGGCTATTTTTAGTTAAAAATTTCTGGGAGAGTCTTGGAGGATGGGTGGTTTCTTGGTTTTCCATGGCTCCTTTGCTGTCATCTCATAGTTTGTGGGATCATTCCCCAACTCAAGGCCAGTTCCTTCTCTGCTCTTCCATTTTATGTCTTTTTTTTAAACAGTTTTTTAAAAGATTTTTATCCATCCATATGATAGAGAGAGAACACGAGTGGGGGGAGGGGCAGAAGGAGAGGGAGAAGCAGACTCCCCACTGAGCATGGAGCCCACTGTGGGGCTTGATCCCAGGACGCTGGGATCACCACCCGAGCTGAAGCCAGACACCTAACCAACTGAGCCACCCAGGTGCCCCCATTTTATGTCTTTTTATCCCCTCTTTGCAAGGGTAATGTATATATGGTTCAAAGAATGTAAATAATATTGCAAAGTAAAAATTGGAAAGAAAGGGAAGTATCTCTGTAATGTAACTTCTGCCCTTTTCCCTGGCATAACTAGTATTATGTAGTTTGGGGATGATCCTTCCAAATACATATAACTCCTGTGTGTATAGATATATATGTATAAATGTGTGTGAGTGATTTTATTATTTTCATGTATTTTTCTTCACCACACACACTACATCTTCTGTAACTTTAAAAAAATGTACTGATAAAACCTTACCAAGAAATACAGTTTTTATACATTTTATTATGGGAAATTGCAATTTTGAACATACTCAAAAGTAGATTTTTGTGAATCCCTTGTACTTATCACTCAGCTGCAAATATTATCAACTGGTGGCCAATCTTGTTTTATCTATGGTCAATCTTCACCAACTCCTGTCATCCTCCTCCTCATCATTATCATCAAGCCAGTCTTTTATTAATGTTTTGTTGAGGATTTTTACTACTCTGTTCATGAGACATATTGGCCTATAATTTTTCTTGTATTCCTGTTTATGTTTTGGCATCACAGGTTGGCTTTATTTAACAAGTTGGGAAGTATTCTCTGAAAGAGTTTGGGTAAGATTAGTATTATTTCCTTCTTAAATATTTGGAAGAATTCTCCAGTGAAGTCATCATGGTGTGGAGTTTTGTTTGTGGGTAGGTTTTTAATTATGAGTTTGACTTATTGAAAAAATATAGTACCATTCAGATTTTCTATTTCTTTGTATGTTGGGTTTTTTAAAAAAGATTTCATTTATTTATTTGACAGAGACATAGCGAGAGAGGGAACACAAGCAGGGGGAGTGGGAGAGGGAGAAGCAGGCTTCTCGCTGAGCAGGGAGCCCGATGCGGGACTTGATCCCAGGACCCTGGGATCATGACCTGAGCCGAAGGCAGCCACTTAACAACTGAACCACCCAGGAGCCCCTGTATGTTGGGTTTGTTAAGCTGTGATTTTCAAATAATTTGTCCAGTTTGTCTAAGTCAGGGGTCAGCAAACTTTTTCTGTAGAGGCCCAGATAGAAATATTTTAGGCCTGTCGGCCGTTTGGTCTCTGTTGCAACTACTCAGCTCTGCTTTTGTAGGTCGAAAGCAGCTGTAGACAATATGCAAACCAATGAGCATGGCTGCGATCCAATGAAATTTTATTTATGGACACTGAAAGTTGAATTTCATATAATTTTCACATGCCACAAAATATTCTCCTTTCAGTTTTTTCTTCAACCATTTAAAAGTGTAGAAACCATTCTTAGCTCGTGGGCCAGATTTGGCCTGCGTGTCATACTCTGCTGTCCTATGATCTCCATTCTCAAATTTCTTGTCATAAAATTGTTCATAGCAGGGCGCCTGGGTGGCTCAGTTGGTTAAGCGACTGCCTTCGGCTCAGGTCATGATCCCAGGGTCCTGGGATCGAGTCCCACATCGGGCTCCCAGCTCAGCGGGGAGCCTGCTTCTCCCTCTGACCCTCCCCCCTCTCATGCTGTTTCTCTCTCGCTCGCTCTCTAATAAATAAATAAATAAAATCTTTAAAAAAAATTGTTCATAGCATCCTTTTATTATTCTTTTATTATTTATTTATTTATTTATTAAAGATTTAATTTATTTGACAGAGAGACACAGCGAGAGAGGGAACACAAGCAGGGGGAGCGGGAGAGGGAGAAGCAGGCTTCCCGTGGAGCAGGGAGCCTGATGTGGGGCTCGATCCCAGGACTCTGGGATCATGACCTGAGCCGAAGGCAGACGCTTAATGACTGAGCCACCCAGGTGCCCCTTATTATTCTTTTAATGTTTGTAGGACACAGCACCTTTTTGATGGGCTCTTTTATTTTATTTATTATTTTTTAAAGATTTTATTTATTTATTTGAGAGAGAGAGCACAGAGGGAGAGGGAGAGGGAGAAGCAGACTCCCAGCTGAGCAGAGAGCCTGATGTGGGACTCAATCCCAGAACCCTGGGATCATAACCTGAGCTGAAGGCAGATGCTTAACCGACTGAGCCACCCAGGTGCCCTGCTTATTGTTTTCTAGGAGCTTTTTGTATATGAGTGATGTGAATTTTGAAGTACACATTACAAACTTTTTTTTTTTGGCTATATGTTGATTTGTCACTCAGCCTTGTTGGCTGTCTCCTCTCACTAGATTATGAGATGCTTGAGGGAAGATATTTTTTCCAGGTGTCTTTTTTGCTGGATCCCCAGTTCCTAGAACAATCCCTGGTATTCAGTGGGGTCTCAATAATAGCTTGCTGAATAGATGAAATTTTTTTTTCACTTAACAGTATATCATAGAGATTGTTGCATATCAATCCTTTTTGCTTTTTATGGTTGTATATGGTATTCCCTTATGGGGATGGAAGCATAATTCATCCAATCCCCCATGAGGTTGTCTTCATTATTTTGCTGTTATAAGCAGTACTGTAGTGAAATACCGTCACACATGATGTTTTGCTCACATATATGAGTATATGTATTAAATAATTTCTAGAAATGGTATTGCTGGTCAGATAATGTGCACATTTAAAATTTTGATGGATATTGTCAAATTAATTGCCCTCAAAATATTTTGTACCAGTGTATACCCACAATGTGAATGCGCTCTTTTTTTGATATCTTTACCAACTTAGTGACTTATCAAACTCTAATCTTTGATAATATGTAAGAGAAACATGATGTTTTGTTTTGTCTTAATTTGCATTTCTCTTCATGTGAATGAAGTTGAACATCATTTTACATATTTAGAAGCCATTTGCATTTCCTTCTCTGTGAATTGATGGTCATGCCCTCTGATTATTTTTTAAAAGGTCAAGTTGTTGATCTTTTTCTTCATGCTTGTAGGAACTCTATAAATGGAGAAAATTAGCTCTTTGTCCATTTACGTGTTGTGCACATATCTATTCCCCAGTTAGTTGCTTGTCCTTTGAGTTTATGATATACTTTGTTATGCAATACATAAAATAGTCAAATTTATCAGTGTTTTCCTTTGTGGCATCTGGGTTTTGTAGCATGCCTAGTTAGAAGAGTTTTCTCCAATTCAAAATTATTTTTAAAATCTCTCCTGTCTTTATTTTATGGCTTCTTTTTTTCTTTGTTTAAATTTTTGTTATATCCCAAATTTACTTTTGTGTATAGTGTGAAATAAGGAGTCCATCTTTACATTTCTTCCAATAGCTACCCAGTTTTGAATAATCTGTCTTTTCTGCACTTATTTATTTATTTACATATTTTATTTTTAAGTAATCTCTACACCTCATGTGGGGCTCAAATTCACAAACCCGAGATCAAGAGTCACGTGCTCCACCGACTGAGCCAGCCAGGTGCCCCTGCACTTATTTAAAATGCTCCTTTATTATATATTAAATTTCCCATTTTTATTTATATCTAGTTTTAGACTGTTTATTCTCTTCCACTAACTATTCTTGCTAATGGCAGAATTTTACAAAGTTTTTCTCATTAAGTATGCTACACAAAATGTTAAGTAGTTATCCTACAGATATTGCTGTGGTAAAAAGATCAGAATGAGCAGATTGTACAGGAATGTGCTGTTATAGGAACCAGTGACATATGAGGATGTGGCTGTGGACTTCACCCAGGAAGAGTGGCAGCACCTGGACCCTGCTCAGAAGACCCTACACAGAGATGTGATGCTGGAGATCTACAGCCACCTGGTGTCTGTGGGTAAGGGCCCATTCTCCATGTAACAGTGAATCGAATCCTCCTCATCTTTCAGAGCTGTCAAGACCATGACCTTTATGATTTTCCATGAATAGGGTCTTTTCTTTTATAGTTTGTGTTTTACATCCATATTTTTGTTATATCTGGAATTTATTTTTGTGAGTTAAGGATCCATCTTTCCTGGGAGGCCCCTGAGACTGCTTTTCCCCATGAATTTCTGAATGGCCAAGGCCAAGACCATTATAATTTTCCCTTAACAGGGTGTTCAGGTATAAAACCAGGTATAATCTTCAAGTTGGAACATGAAGAGGACCCATGGTTCATAAAGAGTGAGTTGTCAAGGTGGATCCACTCAGGTAAGTGAGAATTGGGTAGACGGCTGAAAGGGCCTTCTCCTTCTTCTGACATCAGTGGCCTCCTTTCTTCCTTAAAATTCATTAGGCCTTCTTTATAATATCCATCCTACATCAGCACCTTCCTAGCACTTCTGTTTGTTGCTGTTTTCTTTTTGGTTTCTATTTGATTTTATCTTTATTTTCTTCTTTCAGACAGAGAGAAAAGCCTTGACTCTTCCCAGCAGATCATTTCTGAAGAACTTTCATTTCAAAAGGAGATATTGGGAAAAACCCCAAAGGATAATTCATTGTATTCTCTCTTAAAAGTCTGGCATACTGATGGTCAGATAGATAGGTATCAAGGAAACCAAGACAGAGTTTTGAAGCAGGTCACAGTCACTAGCCATGAAACATTGGCCAAGGAGAAAGGCCCCAAATGTAATACATTTGGAAAAATACTTGGTGTGTGCATAGACCTTGATCCTTCAAGTAAAAAACTCCGTGATTTTGATTCATGTGAAAAGAGCTTGAAATCTAATTTAGACTCACTGACATGCAATAAGAGCCATGCAAGGAAGAACCCCATTGAGAGATTTCGATGTGGGACACCACCTAGCTATCATGATTCCTGTTCTGTGCCTGAGGAAATTTACACTGGCATGAAACCCTGTGGACATAGTCGATGTGAAAAAGGTCTCAATCATAAACAAGTCCATATTCAGTATGAGAAAGATCAAGCTGGTAAGAAACCCAATGTTTGTAGTGAGTGTGGGAAAGACTTTATTAAGAAGTCACGGCTTATTACACATCAAAGAATTCATACTGGAGAGAAACCGTTTGTATGTGGCGATTGTGGAAAAGCCTTCAGTGAGAAATCACACCTTATTGTGCATCAGAGGATTCATACTGGGGAGAAACCTTATGAATGTACTGAGTGTGGGAGGGCCTTCTCCCAGAAGTCACCCTTCATCGTTCATCAGAGAGTCCACACTGGAGAGAAACCCTATGAATGTTTTGAGTGTCAAAAAGCCTTCTCTCAGAAGTCACATCTCATTATACATCAGCGAGTTCATGCTAGAGAGAAGCCCTTTGAATGCAGTGAATGTGGGAAAGCCTTCTGTGAGAAGTCTCACCTTTTTATACACCAGATAACTCATACTGGGGAGAGACCCTATGAATGTACTGAATGTGGGAAAACCTTCCCTCGGAAAACACAACTCATCATCCATCGGAGAACACATACTGGAGAGAAACCCTATAAGTGTAGTGAATGTGGAAAAACCTTTTGCCAGCAGTCCCACCTCATAGGGCATCAAAGAATTCATACAGGAGAGAAACCTTATATATGTACTGACTGTGGAAAAGCCTTTTCCCAAAAGTCACACCTTACTGGACATCAAAGGCTTCATACTGGAGAAAAACCTTATATATGTACAGAATGTGGAAAAGCCTTCTCTCAGAAGTCACCTCTTATTATACACCAGAGAATTCATACAGGGGAGAAACCCTATGAGTGTAGTGACTGTGGCAAAACCTTCTCCCAGAAATCACCCCTCATTATTCATCAGAGAATTCATACAGGGGAGAAACGCTATGAGTGTACTGAGTGTGGAAGGGCCTTTTCCCTGAAGTCACATCTCATTATACATCAGAGAGCTCATGCTGGAGAGAAACCATATGAATGTAGTGAATGTGGAAAGGCCTTCTGTGAGAAGTCTCCATTAGCTGTACATCAGAAAACTCATACTAGGGAGAAACCCTCTGAATCTGCTGAATATGGGATGGCTTTTTCCCGGAAATCACAGATGATCACATATCAGAGAACACACACAAGGGAGAAACCCTCCCAATGCAGTGACTGTGGGAAGGTATTCTGCCAGCATATATACCTCACTGGACATCAGAATCCACATAGGAGAGAAACCTCATATATGTACTGATTGTGGGAAGGTCTTCCCAGAAGTCAGACTTCACTGTGCATGAAAAAACTCCCACTGAACAGAAATCTTATGGATGTGTTGGACATGAAAAAAATGTGGCACCTCCTTAACTGTAGAATAGACTCATATGTTCCTACGTATTTCTTTTTTTCTTTAAAGATTTTATTTATTTATTTATTTGAGGGGGTGGGGAGGAGGAGGAGAGGGAGAAGGACAAGCAGACTCCGTGCTGAGCTCGGAGCCCAACGTGGGGCTTGATCTCAGGACCCTGAGATCATGACCTGAGCTGAAATCGACTGAGCCGCCCAGCCACCCCAATTTCTAAGTATTTGTGATTACCCTTCCACAGAATGATCTGGTCAGGCTCTCAGAATATTTTCAACACTGTAAATATGGAATGCATTTGTTCACAAAGTATCCCATCCCCCCTCACAGAATAAATGTGTCTGGAACAGTTAGCACTGTTTTGGTGTTATTTGGTCCTTGAAGGTATTGTAGAACTCTCCTTGAATTTATTTGGGTATGGTGCATTATTTGAAGGCAATCTTTCTGTATTTCTTTCATTATATTTTCTCTCTTTAGATTACATATGTATTTATGTTGATATATCTATCAATATATAGGTATAGATATATGAATCCCTGGAATTTTCATAAAAATCATCCATTTCCTCAAGGTTCTTAATATATTTGTGAAATTTTGTAAAAAAAAAGAAAAATATATTTGTGAAATTTTGAGCAAAGTGATCTCATATGATTCATTTAATTTTCTCTAAATATGTAGTTATTTCTCCACTATCATTTCTGATAGAGTGTATTTGTGATTTTTTTCCCTCAGGTAAACCAATACTAACGTTTTATTTATTTTATGGCCCACCAAGACCAATTCTTGCATTTATATAATTTTTCTATTTTCCAGTTCATTTGTACTTTTTATTTCATTAGTCTTTCCATTTTCTTTTCTATTTTTTCTAACATCTTTAGTTGAATGTGTAAGTCAATTAATCTCATTCTTTCTGGTCTGTTTATAGATGTATTTTGGGCTGTGTATTAATCTGAGAACTACTTTAGCCATTTGTGGTTCAATCTGAGAGTATTCTGGTTTTTGGTAGGTAAGTCCTACTGTATAACCCAATTTGGTTTGTGGGTATAACATCTATTTAGTCTTAGGTCTCCCAGCATATTTCCTGTTGTGCATCCTGTTTTCATTGCTTTTATGTCTTTTAATCTTTCATCATGTGTTGTAATTTCTTTTATTCTATTTTCGATGTGTTCTTTGTGTTCCAGAGCATAGCAAAGGGAGGTATGCTTCCAAAAGGTTTTCAGGAAGCTAGCAGAATTATGGTATCCATAATCTTGATAACCCATAATAGCTGAGAGATGAGATTTGAGGCGGCAAGGAAGCATGGTGGCAAACTTTTGATCGTAAATGTTCAGAGGACTTTTTTACCTTTCTGCTTAATGCTGTGATTTAAGGTATATAATTTCTCTTACAGTCCTTTGGGCAGAGATGGGATTATTTTTAGCTCATTCTTTCACAGAGAGTAAAGCCTTTTTGTTTCCAAATTTGTGTCAGCAGTCTTTGCCCACCTTGAGCAGGACATGTTTTTGAAAACTGTACTGTGAGTAACTTTGGTTTGGTGATTGCTCATGAAGTGAAGGATAAGCAATAGTGAAATGTCTGTTTGCTGTGGTGTGGCCAAGCTTCTGGGGTCTGGTCTCTTATGGAGTCAGTTACTTGCAGCAAGCCACAGCAAGAATGGGGAATTTCCTAAAAATGTCCCAGAGTGTGGATGGACATTATTACTTCATGTTCAACAAATCTTTATTGAGCATGGCAGGCACTATTCTAAGGATTCTGCAGTGAACAAAGCAGACAAAAATGTCCCTGTCTTCATAGAGAGATGGACAATAAAAAAGTTATATATATTATATTAAGATACATTTATATGATATGTATCATATATAAGTGTATTTTTAATATAGTAAAAATAAAATAAAAAATTTAATGTAACATAGATAATATTTAAAGGTATCTTAAAAGATGTATCTACAACAGAAACTGATCCCAAATAATGATCTGAGATACAAGAATGATGAGCAAAAAACATGATAAAGATGTGGGTAAATTCAGGGGCGCCTGGATGGCTCAGTCGTTAAGTGTCTGCCTTCGGCTCAGGTCATGATCCCAGGGTCCTGGGATGGAGCCGCGCATCGGGCTCCCTGCTCGGCGGGAAGCCTGCTTCTCCCTCCCCCACGCCCCCTGCTTGTGTTCCTGCTCTCACTGTGTCTCTCTCCATCAAATAAATAAATAAATAAAATCTTTAAAAAAAAAAAAAGATGTGGGTAAATTTAAATGAACACTAACTACAAAAACCCGGTAATGAAAAAGTATGCGTATAAGAACAAGACAGAAATATAATGTTCATGTGACACTTAGTAGGAAATATATTGACCAAATTTAGACTTTAGTAAGTTAAAATGCTTGCTAAAATTTCGAAGGTAACCACTAAAATAGTAGAAAGAGTGTACAACTTCCAAATTAATAGAGTCAAGAAATGGGTGGTGTATTATTTTCCTACTGCTGTTGTAACAAATTACAAGGCTACATTTATTTCTAAGCTTTCAGAGAGAATTCATTTACTTGCCTTTAGCTTCGGGAGGCTATCTGAATTCTTTGGCTCATGACCTCCTTCCTCCATCTTCAAAGCCAGCAGGTTACAGCTCTCTTACTCTTCCTACATTGTCACATCTCTCTCTGACTATAACTGGGGAAGGTTTTCTACTTCTAAGCACTTATGTAATTAGATTAGGCCCGCTTTGCTAATCCAGGATAATTTCCCCATCTCAAGGTCCCTAACCTTAATCATATCTGCAAAGACCCCTATTCCATATAAGGTAACATATTCACAGGTTCTGAGCGTTAGGGCATGGGCATTTTTCATGGTCATTACGCTGCTTATCACAGGTGGATTAAAACAAATCAACCCAAAAGAAGGCAAGAAGGGAGACGAAAATATTGAAAAATAATGTTACAAATAAAAAGCATGAAATAATATAGTAGAAATAAATACAAATATACCACCAGTCATAATAAATACGAATGAACTGTACCCTCCAGTTAAAAGAGAAATATAGGCTTTGAGTTGAGAGAGAGATAGTATATGATGATAAGGAAGTATCCATTCGTCCCTATTTTATTGGAGTTATTTTTTTGAATCAAGAATAGCTGTTGGGGCGCCTGGGTGGCTCAGTTGGTTAAGCGACTGCCTTCGGCTCAGGTCATGATCCTGGAGTCCCGGGATCGAGTCCCACATCGGGCTCCCTGCTCGGCAGGGGGTCTGCTTCTCCCTCTGCCCTCTTCCCTCTCGTGCTCTCTGTCTCTCATTCTCTCTCTCTCAAATAAATAAATAAAATCTTAAAAAAAAAAAGAATAGCTGTTGAATTTTATCAAATTACCTCTCAGCATCTATGGAGATGATCATATGACTATTCATTTTGATCCATTATATAATAAATTATATTAACAAATGTCCTTATATTGAACCCTTCTTGCGTTACTGGAATAAACTTCATTTGTTCATGCTATAAACATAAACCAGCTTGCAACAGACAAACTTTTGCTGGTATTTTAATTAGTAGTTTTGCATTGATATTTGCAAATAAAACTGACCTATTGCTTGCTTTTTTGGTCCATACTTTTCAGATTTGTGTATTACAATTATATTGGCTCCCCACAAACCCTTCAGAAGTGTCCCTCCCTTTGTTCTAGAAGAAACATGCCCAAAATAATATGAAGGAAACCAGGACCACATGACAAAAGATTAAAAGACAAAAGCAATGAAAACAGCATGAACAATAGGAAATAGACTGGGAGACCTAAGATCAAATAGATCTGTCATGTGTACAGACAAAATCAGGGTAACCTTGTCTACTGAAAGACCAAATATATTCAGTTTGAAATACAAAGCAAAACCCAAAATCTAAGAGACAATTTGGAAAGATTAGAAATAGAAGGGCAAATATAAAATCATACCTGACAATTGCAAACAAAGGGAAGTGAGAAGAGAATCTTAACATCTGAAAATGTTGAGTTTAGAACAATAAGCAACAAATGAGAAAATATAGACAGTTTTTAAAAAAGATTTTATTTTTAAGTAACCTCTATACCCAATGTGGGGCTCGAACTCACAACCTAGAGATCAAGGGTTACATGCCTACCGACTGAGCCAGCCAGGCATCCCAATAGTATTTTTAAAAGATTTTATTTATTTATTGATCAGAAAGAGAGAGAAAGAGAGCACAAACGGGGAGTAGTCGGCAGAGAGAGAGGGAGAAGCAGGCTTCCCTGCTGAACAAGGAGCCCGACGACACGGGGCCAGGACCCTGGGATCATGATCTGAGCTGAAGGCAGACGCTTAACTGACTGAGCCACCCAGGCGCCCCCTCAACATTTATAATAAAAACTATGGGGCACCTGGGTGGCTCAGTTGGTTAAGCGTCCAACTCTTGATTTCATCTCAGGTCATGGTCTCAGGGTTGTGAGATCGAGCCCCCTGTTGGGTTCTGTGCTGGGCTTGGAGCCTGCTTAAGATTCTCTTTCACCCTCTCCCTTTGTCCCTCTCCCTCTCTAAAAAAAAAAAAAACCCCAAACAAACAAAAAAACTACAAGAAATAAAAATATATTCAAAACATCTTAAAAATGGGAGATTTTATGTATTGATCTATAATAGATCAATTGGACAAATAAAAAGGTTGGAGAAGAATTAAATAATATAATAAGGGGCACCTGGGTGGCTCAGTCGGTTAAGCATCTGCCTTGGGCTCAGGTCATGGTCCCAGGTCCTGGGATCAAGCCCCACATCGGGCTCCCTGCTTGGCGGGAAGCCTGCTTCTCCCTCTCCCACTCCCCCTGCTTGTGTTCACTCTCTCGCTATCTCTCTCTCTGTCAAATAAGTAAATAAAATCTTAAAAATAAATAAATAATATAATAAGGTATATCTAACACATATAAGGCTAAATAGATCTGTTAGATCTATAAATATAACAGGACTAAATTTAATTATTAAAAAACAGAAAATACCATTGGATTGATCACAAACAGTTAAAGTAGTACTCAAATTAAATTCATTAGCACAAAATGTTTCTATTAATAAACAAGAAATGCTGTTAAGGGAAAATCATAAAGGTCTTTGCCTTGACAGTTCAAAAATTCATGAAGAAAAGAAGCAGTTTCAGGGACATCATAATAAAGTTGCCCATTAACCTCCCATCAAAACTGGATCCCTAACTCATACCATACACAAAAATAAGTTCCAGGGGTGCCTGGATGGCTCAGTCGGTTAAGTGTCTGCCTTCAGCTCGGGTCATGATCCTAGGGGTCCTGGAATTGAGTACCGCGTCAGGCTTCCTGCTCAGTGAGGAGCCTGCTTCTCCTCCTTCTACCCCTCCTCCTGCTCGTGTGCTCCCTCCCTCTCTCTCTCTCTCCCTCGCAAATAAATGAATAAAATCTTAAAAAAAAAATTCGGTATGTAACATAAAGGTAAACACTAAAAAACCCCCAGAAACCATAAAAGTAATAAAAGAAGAAACACTCTGTTATGGGAAAAACATAAAGATCTTGGCACTGACAGCTCTGAAGGACAGAGGAAAGGATTAGGTTCATTAAATTACAGAGGGGAGCCATTCTTACCCACAGAGACCAGGTGGTTGTAAGTCTATAGCCTCACTTTCATATTCAGAGTCCTCTGAACAAGGCCCATATTCTTTTTTTTTTTTTTTTAAAGCAGAAAAAGGTTTTATTTGCAGTGCAGTGGCTAGAAACACAGAATCAATGGAAGTTTGGAGAATCAGGGTCAGAAGAGAAAGAAGAACTAAGAGAAATAAGGCATTGAGAAGATCACACCCTGAGAACAGTCTTCTTTTTTTTTTTTGCTCTTTGTTTATTAAATAACAATCTTATAACAGGCATTAAATTCAAATTTAAAAAGAGAAAGAAAAAAATCCCTGATTTCTCCATGAGAGAGTTGCCTTTCTTAATTTTTCTATGTTTCTCACTACTCTTTTATTATTGTTAAGTTGATGTGCTTTAGAAATGATAACCGTTTTTTAAGCTTC